ATAATGTTGAAATTGATAACTTTTTGTGAGTGCATTTCTTGGACTTGAAATATGAAGATGAGTTGTAGGAAATGTCTTTCTCTTCAAAATGAGCTTTGGATGGAATTTTTCTGATAATCCATGTGAAAGTTATGCCCTGGTCAATTTCAGTTGACTTTTTCAACTGTCCAAATATAGTAACTTTTGCATCTTTGATGATTTCTGAGCCAAATTTTGAGAATCATGATCAAGCATTGATCAAATGATGTTTGTGGCTTCAAAATGATATGTTGACCAAAAATTTGAACTTTTGACTGCCAAATGACCATTTTGCCCCTACAGCTGACTGTAGTGCAATTAGGGTTTTTGACTGTGCAACTTTGAGCTGAATGCCTTGAAACTTGATATGAGGATACTTGACCATCTTTGTAAACATATGAGACTTGATTGGGCCTTTGAAAACTTCCCTTTCTTGATCAGAACCCAAACCCTAGTTTTGACTGTATGGGAGACTGTTGAGCTGTGCAACCCTTGGTGAATTTTGCAGCTTGACTTGGCAATTTCTTGAAGAATGTGGGAGGGCAAATTTTGGGGTACAACACCTGAGTCTTCCCCATTTAATGAGAGTCTCAATAGAATCTTTGAGATGTACACAATCTTCAGTCAGGTTTCCATGACTTTGATGATATTGGAAGTATTTGCTCCGATCAGCGCCAGGCTTAACAGGAGCAGAGCGAGGATGCCTGATGGCGTCGTCCTTGAAATCAGTACTAGCACACTTCACTAAGATGCGCTCGCGGGAAGCTGTCAGCGGAGTGTACTCGGTAAATCGCCCGCGGGCCCTCTTTGCTCGGGAGGATCCTGTGGTTTGTCATCCCTCCTCTTTTCGGTCGTTCGTAGAGGAGGGACAGAATCTTGTTGTCACAGATTGCTGGTTGATCCACGGTTCCTCGGGTCCCGGGCTCTATGGGCCGCTCCCCTCTCCTCATAGTCCATATAGGCCCTAGCCTTCTCGAGGAGAGCATCGAATGTCCGTGGTGGTTCGATGCCAACGACTTTTCTAAACTCCGTGCCTGGGAGGAGTCTCCTCTCGAGCAAGTATCTCTTCATATGATCGGTGCAAGGGACCTAGATGGCCTCGCGGTTGACCGATCAATAAATTCCTAAGGGTATCGTCGTTTCTTTGGACGATGGCCTCAAGGGATGTCTCAATCTTCAGATGTCGATGTCAGACAGTGAATAAACTGATGAACTGGTTTTTTAAATTTCTCCAGGAGGTAATTGACCCCGGGGCGAGGCTTTTACACCAGTCCATCGCAACCTTTCTCAAAGTCGTGGGGAACAACGGGCATTTTTCGGTCCCTCGACATTATGATAATGTAGCAGTACCTCGAACCCGTTGATATGGTCAACTGGGTCGATAATGCCGTCGTACTCCTTCAGATGATGAGGTTTCTCCATACCCGGGGGGATGGGTGCCTCCATAATAGCTTGGGATAGGGGACCACAGGGGTTGTCTTTGTCGCTTCTGTCAGGAGATCGAGAAGGCGACTTGTTGTAATGGCGGTCGTGATGGAGGCCCTGGTCGCGTGGAGGATTCCTCGGGCAGTACGGTCATTCATCATTTCCCATATTCCTATTTCCAGGGGGTCTTTGCTCTTGATGCGGGGGGACGTGATCACGTCTCCCTGTATCCATGGGTTGATCCCTCTCCAATGCGGGGAGTCGCCCGATTGGTCGGGGAGAGGGGCTTCGAGAGGCATCCTGTCTGCGTCTCCGTGGGGGAGATTGGCGAAGATCCTCTATCTGACGAGGAGGAGGAGGATCATGCCTCCTATGTCTTCTGGGGGCTCTCCGAGAACCTTCGAGCGCCCTTAATCTCCCCCTTGCGAAAAGATTAAGTAGTTTGTTTGATTAATTATCGCGAACAGTGCCCTGATCGTGGCATTAACACCCACAGGAACGGAGACCCCCTGGAACACGAACAACTGATGGTTCTGGAGAGAACGATGATCGTCTTCGATTCTTCGGGACAATGATGACGAAGAGGCAGTCAGTCCGTCTCTGTAATCTGAGGGGTCGGGCATGACCCCGACGTGGTCGTTGTTGTTGCCGGTGTTACTATTGTTATCGACGTTGAGGCCAACGGGACCGACATTGTTGATGTAGGTGTTGTGGTCGGCGAGATGGACATTCATGTTGTTTTCTATCGTGTGATCAGCCATGACAGTCAAAAAGTAGTTGAATTAGCTTTTGTCTTGGGTGAACGGAAGATGGGGAAGTTGTGTTTCCCACAGATGGTGCCACTGATCGTATCTGACTAGAATGAACCGTCACAACTTACTTCGAGCAGAACTTAAGAGTAAGGTGGGGGGTACCTGCAAGATACTCCGATGCCAAAGTAAGATTCAGAATGAGCAAGCAAGTAAGAGAGTAAGAAATGTTCAATACCTGACCCTCTCGAAAGAGAGGGTATTTATAGTCCCCAGTACTAGGTCAAGGTCTCCTCATTGGACTGGTCAAACAGGCCAAACATAGAGACTGCCAGATCCTACGTGAGTGGTGGGGACCCGCACGTGGTCCCCCACCTGGATGACTTCCTCCACAAGATCAAGAGGATAGAGATGCAGTCTTTCCGGGGTCACGAAGACTTCGTGATATTCAGAGACGTTGATAGTAAGCCCTACGAGGAGGATGCTCGTGAGGTGTTTCTGCCCGCCGTGGATGCTTCCCGCCAGACGCGAAGTCGTGCACGGGGATCAATCTTGGTCGAGAAGGGGATCAGAGGGTGACCTCGAGGTTCCCCTGACCGACGATGATCCTCGTAAGACCAAATGGGTTCATCTCGGTGCGGTGGAGTTGCCTCTTCGCGGGGAGTGGAAGTCGCTGCCCGACGTGCTCAGGGGCAAAATTCACCAGTATGTCTTAATCGACGTAATTGGGTTGGACCTCACATGGAGTTGGGCCAAGGTCAGGCCCAATCCAGAAGAGTAATTAATCTAAGGTTTTCAAAATTTTATAATAGTATATAAATAATAAATACTCTCTTTGTCTCATATTATTTGTCGTAATTGACTATTTCACACAGATTAAAAAACAATAATAAATGAAAGAAAGAAAATAATGACTTTATCAAATTATCCTGAAACAATAAATTAAAAATATTTATTAGAAGATACAATTGAAAGATTAAATACAAAATTGCATTGATAATATAAACAAATTCAAACATCATAATAAAAGACGTTTGAAGGTATTAGCTTTTGATTTGGATGAAAAATGAAAGTTATAAATTTTGAGATTCTTGAAATTTTTAGAGTATGAAACTGATAGAGTAAAAGATAGAAATTACCTTCATAATTTGAAAAATGGCTAAAATCGACAATTTAAGAGATCCTAAAAATGGAGGTAAATTAATAATTCCTCAATCTCAAAACTTATATAATTTCTTAATGTATTTTTAAAGGATTTTGGCGAAATTTCCGTAATATTATGTGAATTTAGATATACATATCTGAATTCATATTTTTTTTCCAGAAAATATTTAATTTTGTAGATACAAATTTGAAAATATTCTATTAAAAAAATGTATTTTCAGATATGTATATTCGAATAAACTTTATTTTTTATGAAAAAATGTATTTTCAGATATATATATATATATATATATATATATATATATATATATATATATATATATATATATATATATATATATATATATATATATATATATATATATATCCAAAAAATTGTCTATTGTGTTTTAAAAAAAAAAAAAGTATATCCAACACAACCAACTTATATGATCTTAGCTTTAAAAGTACAAATTCCAGAGAAACCAATAAATTTACTAATTATTCATACTCCCCTTTTAATTTTTAAAAAAACACAGAATTTTTCAAATATTTATATCTGAAAATCCATTTTTTTCATAAAAAATAAAATTTATTCGGAGATATATATTCAAAAATACATTTTTCTAATAAAAATAAAATACGTTTGAATATGTATATTCGAATGACATTTTTGAATTTTTAGAGGTTTATTTCACCCTTTATATATATGGTGTACTAAGAAATTCTCAAAACTTATCTTATTGGCCAAGCTTAAGAACCAGCATAAATGGGCTCCAAATTGAATTAACATGCTGAACTATTACATTTTGGCAAATTAACACATGACTTCTATTTCCCTTTAAATTATTGACATCAAAATCACTTTTTTTGAATCAGTATCAAAGGGACCCATATCATTGATAAAGATCAAACTAAAGAGTGTTATAACTTACTGCTTCAACCAGTTCAGTAAATGATGACTGTGATCAGATATTTCCAATTGAATTGGTGACATTTTAAGCTTAACCAATGTATGTCTCCTTAACCAACAAATACGTTTCGAAGATCGCGACCAACAGCAACTCAATGAAATTGATTCAAAACTTCATGGAGCATCCCACATCAACTGCTGACTGAATTCCAAACTAGAACTCCAAACAGGAACACAGAAGCTCATTGCAAAAGCACAAAACTGATTTCGGTAAACCAAAGGTTAAATGAGATTAATATCGACGCACAAAGTACAAACTAAGAAGTTGATTGCTAGAGACAACTATAAAATCTTGCAAAGCAAAAGCATATGTTGGGAGTAAATGAAGACAAATGTGTTATAAATATTGCTAACTAAACAATCAAAATTTCATTATCAAAGAATGGAACTGCAATGGGAAAGGCCACCCATGCCCAACTTGAGTACAATGATAATACAGATGCAGAAGCAGTATGATGGAAGTTCATTAATGAAATTCATCGCTACATAACTAAAAAAGGTTACAACACAAACATTGAAATCAGCCATCAAGGTTTCTAGGGGTGAAACCTAGAAAGTGCGGAACTGAAACAGTTGCAAAACTGAATTCACTTCTAGGAATCATATCTAGATCTAAGGAATTCAAGGCCATTATAAGATAACTCAACGCACAATTAATACGACAAAGCATGTAACACAATCACCAGCATCCATCAAAAGCAACAAGAGCAATCAAATGGACAAAGTGGAGTATTCCCAGCATCCCCTTTACTAAGACCTAATTCCTCTTCAGTATAGATAGTAAGTCCATCCTCCGTTTTCTTTCTCGATCGGGATGGCCGATCAATATATTCACCCTCGTCTGCCCGTTTAGGTTTTTTCTTCTCGTTAGTCCTAGCACTTTTAGTTGCTTCACCGGCTTTTCCATGCTTATTCACGTTCGATTTCTTTCTCTTTTTACCAGCAAATATTTCGTCGATTTCACTAGCTGCTTTTTTCGGCTTTTGCTCTTCTTCAATGTTATTATTCTCTTGCAATTTATCTGAAGCCATTGTAGAATTCTTCTTCGTCTTCTTTCTCTTTTTACCAGCAAATATTTCGTCGATTTCACTAGCTGTTTTTTTCGGCTTTTGCTCTTCTTCAATGTTATTATTCTCTTGCAATTTATCTGAAGCCATTGTAGAATTCTTCTTCGTCTTCATCATCTGCATTTCATGTTACATAATTTTGAGAACTAATCCAGTAATTTTGAGAACTAATCACAAAAAATAAGTATTATGTACTAAGTGTATCTAATTTTAAACCTTTGTGTTAATTCAGAAAATAAAACCTTTGTGTTAATTCAGAAAATAAAACGTGGAAAATGAAAAGGAATGACTCAGAAAATTCATTGCTAAACCCTAAACATACAAAGAAGATAGGAAGGAATATCCGAAAAATAAAATAATAAAAAAGAGAAAACTGTTTTCTTACTGTTTCTGGAGGCTACGGCTGCGATTTGAATTCAGTTCAGCGTTGCCACTCCAACGGGTTCCTGTTATCTGATTAGATACTGGCAGATCGGCCGGCGGCTGTTTTTGTTTTGTTTAATGGAGTGGCTGATTTTTGTAATCATGTGAATTGTAGTGGTGGATTTATATGGGCCTCTTTTAAACAAGTGGTGGATTGGGCTTTCTAATTGTGAATCTAGTTGAAGATAAATAAGAAGTAGACAAACCATGACAAATAAATAAAAAAGAAAGAATAATAAATAAATGAAAAAGAAAATGTAATTAGAAATACAAACACATTATAAAAATTGAATAATATAATAAATTAATAAAATTAAAAAATTAAATAATATATCTAAAAAATAAGTTAACTATATGATAATTAAATATATTTTGTATAACAATAAATAATATAATTAGTGGGAAAAAAATAATAAAAAAATAATGAATTTTATTTTTGGGGCCAAAAGTATTTTCATTAACATTAGTAAGTGGTGGTCGTGGATAACAAAATTTTCTAAATGATATAATATAAATGATAAAATTGATAGATATAAATTTTTTAAAATATTTTCGTCATTAATAATATAAATTTTCTATATATATATATATATATTTGATATAATTGTACACAAAAATCACAAGAAAACATAAGAAATATTTGTCATTAATAATATAAAAAAATACACTATATAAATATTTATGTTACTATTCCTTTTTACAAAATAATTTTTTTTCGATTTTAAAATACGATATATTATCTAAAATCATAAATACTATAACATATTTAAACAAAATCATTGATGTTAAATTTGATTTATAATATATAAAAACATAACAATATATTTTAATTATTTAAACATGTTTACGTTTATATTGATGTAAAAAAAATGTCTTTCTTTTAAAAATTATAAATTATTTTGGTAAAATAATTTTATTTTTCTTATTTATATTTTAATTATATTTTAAAAACAAAAACGTGCATACCACACCAGTACCAATGCGAATGCACGAGTATCCCACTACTTTTTAATAAGTTCTTTAGTTTTTGGAGATGTTTTCTTGGACACATTTTGTTTTTGTTTAATGTTAGTTTGTTTCAGAGATATATTTGTGTAAAGTTCTCGGAGATGTATCTCCGTATTTTTACGCAGACATTAATCACAAATTATTTTGTAAATGCTTCTCATATTAAATTGTTAGTAGATATTTTAAGATTCAAAAATACTAAAGATATGAATAAAACGACATATCTAACGCATTCATTGAAACTTTAATTTCCAGAAGAAACAATCCAGATTAATTAAAGGCTTGAAAATTGCTTGAAAAACGTGCCCACTAAAGAAGATTCATTCAACTCTAACGTGGGCGGTGCATATTTATTTGTGCTATTGTCTTTATTGACGAAGACTATCGTTACAAACTAGGAGAGTTACTTCCTAGCTGTTTGTTCGAATATAAAAGGGAGTTATCTCTTTCTCTATTCCAGGTTGTGTCTTGCTGGGCTGTGATCTTATGGGTTTTATTCGATTTTGGGTGAGTACAACATGGGTATGGGTTTGCTTTGGTTATATTTCTCAAGTTTTGGCTAAAAAGGGGGAGAAAGATATTGATCACCATATGAATGTTACTTATGTCCCTGCAATTGTTTTGCAAGGATATTTAAAAGGATGTTCTGTCGCGTTTGAGATTTTCATCGAAGCACGACATAGAGGCGAAAAGGAACATAAAAATCACCATCAAAGTTATTTATCCCAAGAGAGGGAAAGAAAACACTGAGTAAATCTGAGGGATGGAAAGGAGCATGGTCTCACGGCCAAGAGAAAAAGGATAAGGAAGTCGGTTACGCAAGAGGAAGATATTAGCACCCCTCACATCTATGGTACTCCACATGATATGATTAAGTTTGTTCTAATCTGTGATACGGTGGGAGAACTGACTTGGTTGTTTTGCGTTTGACCGTAATTATTGCGGATAGCAAGAGTCGCCACTGATTTTTCTTTTATCCAATAAAGGAAAGGGTGAAAAGAACAGGAAAGACCTTTGTGATGTTTTCTTGAGTTCGGGGGGTAGGTTATGAAAAGGGAATGTATTAGCACCCTTTTCATTCGTAGTTATCTACGGGCTCTTAGTTGCTTGCTAGATCACTTGCTTTGTTTGAAAATGTGTTTTGTGATGGGTGTAAGTTTAAAAATATTTTGCAAAATGCCTTTGTTGCGTCGAAATTTGTAATGATTCTCGTCTCTATAAGAATGCATACAAAGTGTTGGTTTTGAAAATAGTTCAAAGAGATGTTTTGTGTTTGAAGATGTTTTGGAAGTGTAAGTGTGGAAATGGTTTTTGTTTACGAGCAAGCAACTACGAGCGTCCTACCTACTCAAAAGGTCTATGTTCTTTTCCTCCTCCTTTAGATGTTGTTATCTTACCATTGATTGGTAAGAAGCCCCATCGTTGGATGTGAAGGGACAAGCGTGGGTCAATTGTATAGTCATAGAAGGCAACCTATGAGACATTTTAGCAATTTCGTAAGGGACTAGATCGTTTACCGAAGGCAACATCGAGGGAGTATGATATTTTTATCGAGGGTCTTTACTAAAATGCCCATATTTGAGAGACATGACTATTTTCTGAGGCGACAACTGAGGTTATCCTAGAGGTGCATGTGTGTGAATAGTGTGTTTGATTTCATGCATTTTTGTCTTTGAATTTAGGGTTTTATAAGGGTTGATTTTAT